TATTGAACTAAGCGGTTAGCTATATATGTCTTTTGCATGCTTTTGATAACTGCTTGATTGTCTAGCGCTTCTTTTTCTGATACACCTGACAATCCAATAGGTGATCCAGAGCATGTGAGACCGCCATAAGTTCAGCCTGATAGACGGAGATATATATTCCTAGATGTAGAGTGCACGTTAGATTAAGCTCTTTCGAGTAAACCCCAGCACCAGCTCTGCCATCCATCAAGGAGCCATCGGTAAAGATGCATATGTCATTCCTACTAGTTAAACTGAAACAATCTGAATATCATGCCATAGGTTACGCAGATGACCTGGCAATTATAGTTTCCGGTAAATATGATACCGCAATTACAGATGTGATGCAGGCGGCCTTACACAAAGTCTCGAACTGGTGTACCAAAGGAGGCCTATGCATCAACCCAAAAAAAGTTGAAATTCTGCCATTTTCCAGAAGGTACAAATTAAATATTGGATCCCTATCTATTAAAGATACGACTATCGAATGCTCCGACGAAGTTAAATATCTAGGGGTCACCCTAGATGAGCGTCTTAACTGGAACACTCATCTGGATAATATAATTGGCAAACCCACAAGGGTCATATGGACATGTAGAAACTCATATGGTATAACCTGGGGCATAAGTCCTAGAATTATATCATGGTTATACCGCACAATGGTCAGACCCATTGTATCCTACGCAGCTCTTGTTTGGTGGAATAAAGCGCAACAAAATGCTGCAATAGTCAAATGCAATAAACTGCAAAGACTCGCATGTATCGCTATGACGGGAATTATTCGAACATGTCCCACATCAACACTGGAGTCCATAGTGGGTTTCACCCCTCTGTGTCTCTTTATTAAAAATCCAGCAGATATGAGTGCAGCTAGGCTACACCCTGTTATCAACATGCACGGAAGTCTCGACAGTCAAAATTTTATCTGCACACTAGTTACTGGCATAGAGATCTGCGATAGGATATATCGCATGAACATGAAATTTCGCTTTGGTAGGAAGTTCGAAGTCCTCATACCCGATCGATTGGACTGGGAAAATGACACTCCGGGACTCGAACCAAAAGTGGTGGCATGGCACACTGATAGTTCAAAAACCAAAGAAGTAGTTGGTGCTGGAATATTTGAGGTTCACGCTATTGAGGTCTGCGCTCGCATCAACATTGACAAGTGGTTGAAAGGCGCCCGAATCTGTATCTATTCACATAGTCAAGCAGCAATCAAAGCATTATGCTCCTGAAATGTTTTCTCAAAGCTTCTAGTAGAGTGCTATTACACGCTGCAGCAGCCGGTAGGCAATAATAAAGTGACGCTGTGCTGGGTGCCTGATCATACAGGAATCAATGGTAATGAATCTGCCGATAGTCTTGCACGGGCAAGATCTGCCACTCAAATCAAAAGTTGGTCTACAACTAGATCTCTAATCAATAATTGGATTTCAACCGAGAGAAGTCGCTACTGGCGCGACAGTCGAGGTAACCGTCAGGCTAAAGTGCTGGTTCACCCCTATAGTTATAATAAGATATCGTTCTTCAGCAGAACAGAGTTGAGGTTGCTGGTAGGATATCTAACGGGTCACCACGGACTACGTTACCACCTCAACAAAATGGGTCTGTCCGAAGAGATAGAGTGTAGATTCATTGAGTTTACTGGTCTATTGGGTACTTTATTGTTAAATTGTTACTAATAACCTGGCTTATTCAGCCAAAGTGTAAATTTTCTTTGACACAGAGCATCCGAAAGGAGGGAAGGAACCCAGAAGAGAACGCGGTCTTGTCAGGAGCCTCCTCAAAGTCAACGCCAACAGCAAAAGCATCGTCATCGTTTCAACAAGGATTTCATAGTTCACTATTATATACTCCGGTGATATAAGTTCACCATGATGACATGACTACGCGAGCAAATTATAACATTTGCTTTCCATTAGCAACACATTTTCTTTGGAATTATGAATTTATTTTTGTACACCAATTTATGTATAAATGTATATTGCTTGATATATATCTATTTTTTTTTTGTTTTGAAGTGAATAAAGTCATTACTGAATTATATTATAAAACTACGCTTTCTTTTATTGAACGAAGTGCAAATATAAAAATCATTGCTACCAACCTGGATAGCCGCTTTGCTACCTCAGCAAACAAAACGACTGGAAAAGTGTGTCGTTACAACAAATAATAATCGGATGGTGCAAGGTCTGGAGAATATGGTGGGTGTGGCATTGAATCCCATTCAAGCGAATGACCAAACTTGTGTGAGGTCTCGCGTTGTCTTGGTGAAACATTACACCTTTTCTGTTGATTAGTTCTGGCCTTTTCTGTTGAAGTGCATCATTCAGTTTGTCCAGCTGATGATAGTACACTTCCGAATTAATCGTTGTGTTATCCGGTAAAAGCTTTAAAATCGCCCCTAACAGACAGCATCATCTTTATTTGGTGAATATCGGCTTTGGAAATGATTTGAGCCGGTTCATCGTTTTTACTCCATGACCTCTTGCGTTTGAAGTTGTTGTGTACAACCCATTGATGATGCGCTTCAAAAACGTATCATTTGCGTAAAGTTGGAGATGAGAATAGCAGACGTCAATGCGGCGACAAAGATTTTTCTCTGTGAGAACAGATGCTTTGAGGATAATCCCAGGCCTTACAAGTGGTCATAAACTGTTGAATTTTGTAAATGTAACCTCAGTCCGATCTCACGGGTTATTGTTCGGCAGTTCGCATAAACTAATGCTTTTATCGCATCTTTATCAGCTTCAATCGACCTTCCCGAACGTGGTGCATCGTTGACATTAAAATTGCCGGATCGAAATTTAGCGAACCAGTTCTTGTTCTGGCATACTGTCAACACACCTTCTTCATACACATTTCTTTCTGGTTTGAACAGCATTTTCACACTTTCTGTAGTAAAACAGTAGCATATGTCGAAAATGCTACTTATCGCTCTCCATATTTAAAAGGGCATCAACCAAAAACAACTGCGTAGAATTAATTGGAATTTTTCACACACAAGCCTTGCTATAGGAGCTATAGGAACGTAATATGAAAAAATATGAGAAACCGATCTCTCATAACCCTCCCTTAAAAAATAATAATGAATGGACGAAAAGACAGATAGAAAAGCCACACGCACTGGCTGAATATCTAAGCAACATCTTCAGTCAAGAGGAAACCCAGCGCATAGAGTCAAAAAACAACATAGATGATGAAGCTATTTTGCTGATAAAAAGAAAGAAGTAACTAGAGAAATCAAAAACATGACATAGAAAAATTGTTCGAAAAGCTAATCTGCGAAAGACTTGAAAAAATAGCTTGTCAATGGAATCTTATCCCAAATCTCAGTTTGAATTTTGAAATATTCACTCAACGATTGAACAAGTACACAGAGTTACGCACGAAATCGAAAAGGCTTTAGAGAACAAGAAAACTTGTTCAACTGTGTTTCTACATATCTAAAAAGCTTTTGACGGGGTTTGGCACTCAAGCCTGATATATAAACTGAATGCTATTCTGCCACAGCCGTACTGTAAACTACTGGAATCGTATATAATCGAAAAGTATTATCGAGTTCACAATTATATCGTATAAATCGCGGGGTTCCTTTAGAAGAGTATAGTAGGCCCATTGCTGTATCTGTTGTACACATATGACTTGCCAGTGAATCCAAGGTGTGTTGTCGGAACTTTTGCAGATGACACGGTAATAATGGCTACAGGTCCAAACAACAAGGTGTCTACCACCAAGCTACAAATCGTTCTACAAGAAATTGAACAATGGACAAATAAATGGAAACTGACAGTAAATAGTTCAAAATCTAACCACGTAAATTTTACTAACAAAAGAGAAAATCAAATTCCATTATCTCTAAATAGCATAAAAATTCCAGTTGCTGATTCTGCGAAATATCTGGGTATGAGCCTAGATGCCAAACTGAGATGGAAGGAACATGTCAAGAAAAAATTAACTGAGCTAAATATTATATATAAAAAGTTGACTTGACTTATTGAAAGGAGATCTAAAGGATCTCAGCAAAACAAACTTATGATTTACAAACAAGTCTTCAAGCCGGTACGGCTCTATGGTGTCCAAATTTGGGGTTGTGCAAAAAATAATATAATAAATATGATAATAAGGTTCCAAAACAAAGCAGTCAGGGATGCAGTTAACGCTCGCTGGTACGTGTGAAATGCTGATCTACATCGTGACCAGTCAAGCAAGAAATACAGAAGGCTGCTAAAACACATTATGTCATGCTGAGTCAACATTTATTTATATAACAAAATTAAATTTAATACAGGAAATGCTGATAACATTTTTGCCATATAATTTACTTTGAAGAATTTCAGCATTAACAATTCATTCCCTTTTCTGGGTTTGACTCACTCTTAAGCATGCCGCAGACTATCATTTTTGAGTGTCATTCAAGAGAGAAAATTTAAAAATGACACTTTAAAATGATTGACTCTACCTTTGAATGACACACAACCAACATGTTAGCACATAATCTGTCACCCGAAAACTTTCATTTGTCATTCAAGAGCATATTTTGAGTAGCAACCTTATTCTTGAAAAATTTTTGCTTGAATGACAATTCTTGAATGTGAGCACGTTCAAGTTCGGTCGCTAGAATAAATTTGAGCACGAGAGAGCGCAATTGGAATGACGTTCAAAAATGATAGTCTGCACCGCGCTTTATTTATTATAGTGACAAATCAACACTTGATACTTTCACAGATTTCGTACAAAATGTGTATTCATTTCATCACTTGCACATACATATTTGTGTAATGGGGTATTTTATACCTTTATATGAATATCTCTATTGTGTTGTTCTTTTCAACAAGCTTACACAAAATATAAATAAGCTATTTGGGTTGGAAATCAACCAAATCAAAAAACAATCTTTTACACATGTTTTTGCTTATAAATTTGTCTAAAAACTGCGAACTAATTACATAATTTAATTTTTTTTTTTACAAAAATAGGTCGAGGTGTGACTCTACAGATCCATCAGTTAATGCCTTCGAGTTCTTTTTTTGCTTTAAGTGCCGATTTATGTATTCAAATTCAATATATTAAAGCGACGAACGACAGTATTATAAATAATAAAGCAATATTATTGCCAACAATAACATGTAACAATAATACAAGCGAAGAAATTATTTTAAATTCAAAACAGAAGAGCAAGGAAAGTGTTATGGAAAATGTAAATAAAGAAGCAACAAATACTTTGGTTGTCAGTAAATATTTTAATCCACAATTTGAAGAATTTAAAAATGCAAATTTTATTAATTCTAAAAATTACGAATTATTTAAACAGCGAAATGACATGGAAATAGTGAAGAATATGCATTTTTTTTCTAATTATATCAATCTAACTCAAATAACTGTGCCATGTCAAATATTTCTAATGGCTGGATTATACGAAATCAAAATAGTTCTTGGCTCGAGTAAGATCGATATCTCATTAGAAAGTTCTTCTAATAAAACAGAGGAAGTAGAATCCATTAAGTCAAATACATTTCAACCGATAAGAGAGCAAATATTAATGCAAATTATAAATGTACAATGGCCGCGAGTTGAAATGATTGTGAGTCCAATTCGATTAAAGACTTATCCTGAAAACCCTGTTAGTGTAATACTAAAATTTATTGACCTGAACTGCAACCAGGCATTGGAAAATGAAAAATTGCCGGAGTTTTGGTTAGAACTCGTTTATTGTGGTAGAAATTCTTCATGCTCTCAGATGAAACTGCAAAATATATCGAAAACAAATATATTGTATGAAGAACAAGTTCATGGATATCCGAAATTAAAATCTTTAACTCTTGATTGTTCTCTTTTCGGGTTAGCTGGCAATTATGTGTTACAGCTAAGACCCATGGCTAGTGCATATGATATATCAATTGTACGTCGGTTTATTACTGTTGAGTGGAGTGACAAATTTGTTTTTAATGTGCATACAAGCAGTATATTTCCATGTGATCCGCATATAGGTATTGGAGTTCTATATCAATATCCACGCTGTATATTAGATCAAGGTGATCGCGTACGTTTATTTGCCAAACTGCGTGCCGATGTGGTGTCATTGAAACCACCAACATCGTTACATTACATTTATGAGAAAAGGGTTGTTAAAGGGCAACATGCAATATACTTTAGCTGCGACTTATTTACGGAGAAATATATAGAATATTGCTTTAAATATGTGACGCAATCCATATCTGGAGCTGTTGCTGATGTACGTGTAGACTGTGTATCAACATTACCAGTGAAAGGTAAGTTAAATTAATTATGTATTCAATAATTTAATAGTTTGTTTATTCAAAGAAAAAAAAAAATTAAATGAATTCTGGAATTTAAAAATATTCAACATTTTCTATATGCTCTTATTACTTGTCCGATTGACTTTTTTGTGATAATTTAATTCAATTATTATTTTCCAATATTTAAAGAGTGGACCAGAGAGTAGCACTTCGATCTAAGGAATAAATTTCTAGATCTAAGGTATGAATCTTAATTTTAGTCCAGTTTTTTAACAGTCAAAATAAAGTTTTAGAAATGGTCGATCAAATAATATAGTAAGGTAAAATAAATATAAGCGAATAATATTCAATGGTATATTTCTCATGAAATATTTTTAGTGTTATAAAAATGAACATGCTTTAATATGTAAAAATAATACACTAAATTAATTTAGCATTTCATTCTGCGAAGAACAAAGTGTAATATAATTTTTAACCTTATTTGAAACTTATTGGCAACCCTGTCGTCACTGTTTGTTAACCGATGACGCTGCCGGCCATCTTGACAAAAATAAAGATGAAATCAGTTTGGTTATACAGTGCGTTCAAGTTGTGAGTTTTGGGGTAAACTGAAGAGCGGAATAATTTGATTGCTGTTGCTGTTTATTTTAGGAAAAGATTTCTGTAATGTACTGTTTAGAGAAGTTAATTATATTACAATACCTGACATTCAAAAAGAAAGAAAATGATGAAACTAATTACATTTATAAAATATTTTTAATGATAACATTTATAAATACATATATGCATACTAATTTAGTCATAATGTATATATGTATGTATGTTGATCCTTTTTTCGAGTCAGCGCAACTAGGCACTTTCACTCTTTGAAAGCTGGGGGTACTACAGGGTCCTACCCATCTCATTGACTAATTTATGTATTCCTTATAAGCTTCATGATTATTCATTGATTGATCTAAGGTTTGCGTACTTCACCGTCCGGAGAGTGATTACTCTAAGATAAGATAGTGCTAAGTAGGATAGCCTGTCAATTTTCGCATATAATTTCAGGGCTCTGTCCGTTATGTGTTTTTTAATCGGGTCAATTCTAAGGTCTCTTAGTATGTCGTTTGTGCGGATGTACCAAGACACTTTGAAGAATCTTCGGAGAGCCTGACTTTGAGCAACTTGCAACTTTTGTATAGTAGAGTCGGCAGCTTTGCTATACGCGACACACCTATAAAGTAATGCTGGTCTAATTATCTGGCTATAGATCAGTTTTCTGTTCTTCACGCTAAGGTTGTTGTGTTTGAAAAGTGGTTGTAAGCATTGCAGTGTTTTAGCCCAACTGCTTCTTTTGACTTGTATATGCTTATGCCAAGTGAATCGCTTATCAAACATGATACCTAAGTATTTAATGCTATCCTCCCAATTAATCACGATGTCACCAACTCTTACTTTCGGTGGATGTTACCTATGTTTACGTGTAATAAACAGGGGTTTAGTTTGCTCATTATTAATTTTTATTTTCCATTTATGGAAGAACCCCAGGATGAGATTAATATGCTCCTGCAGCATGTTGGTCACATTTCTGGCAAGTTTATCAGAATATAACAAGCATGTGTCATCTGCGTATAATGATAATACCGAAGGACTTAGCTTTGGGATGTCAGACGTGTAGATGTTGTACAAGGGGGAGAGCGGGGATCCTTGAGGAACACCCGCTTCTATTCTTCGTACTGATGAGGTAGTACTGTTGATTCTTTCACGGAACTTTCTCTCGCGAAGGAAGCTGTCAAGGATTTTGATCAACCCGACTGGGATACCAAAACGAGACATTTTAACTATCAGGTCGTCGTGCCAGACCTTGTAAAATGCCTTCACGATGTCAAAAGTAATCATACCCGTTGATTCCCTTCTGCTCAGGGCAGACTGTATCATCTGAACTGTTCGCACCAGTTGTAATTCTATGGAGAGGTCTTCCCTGAAACCAAATTGCTCATCGGGGAGAATATTCAGCGAGTTCACCGAAATTTTAAGTCTATCTAGGATCACTCTTTCAGCTAACTTACCCAGAGCTGACAGTAAGCTAATCGGGTGCCATTTCTGCGGGAACTTCGGGTCCTTACCGGGTTTAGGAAAGACTACAACTGTGGCTTCCAAATTTTAGGATATTCACCTAGCCTCAACATACCATACAGTTGGTTATATTTGCGATGAGATGGATCGCTTCTTCCGAATCTTCAGGTTACGTAAGCATCTGTTGTTAATTTTGTCGTACCCTGGTGCAGATCTTATCTTCAATCTTGAGATAATTAGAGCAATTTCATCACTAGAGCAAGGCGCGATGTCTCCCTCAGGCTCTTTAACCAAGATATTGTAAGCCTCATCGGTACTATGTTCTTCCTCTTCAGAGTCATAATCATAGTCTTCGTTTGGCTGGAATTGAAGCTCAAAACAGTCAGCAAAGGCTTCGTGAGAATAGCACTTAAAATATGAGCGGAAGTACACCAAATAAAATTTACAACTCAGATGACGAGCGAGATATTGTTAGAAAAATCAAGTGGAATCCAAAATTAAATGCTACTAGTTAGTCACTAAGGTACGGATAGAACTAGGCAAGAAGTGCAGCGTGGAAACTGTCCGCCGCGCGCTTCAATAATCCTACTTTAATTGTCGAGTAGCTAAAAAAAACCCTTTGTTCGTGAACCAAATACTCACTACATTGGGATTGCACCTTTCTTGAACATTTGTTCAAAAAAGCAAAATGCATTGTAATACTACCCTTTGTACAGACACTTTAGCTACGTTGTTATTTTTGGTTTTTAATTCGGTATGTGCATGTGAATTTTAATATGTTTTGTTCAAACATAAATTGTAAGACTTTTAATTGCAAAAATAATAAAAAATATATTTATCAATACTAAATAGAGTGTATCCTTTACCACCCTTCATAAGCAAAAAAAAATCAGAGCAGTCGGCTTACTTATGCTAAGGAGCATGCCCACAAAAAATTAAACTTCTGGAATAGCGTCATATTCTTAGTCGAATCTAAATATAATATTTCTAGCTAGGCCTGAGTTACGTGTGGTGAAAATCAAATATTGGGCTCACAAACGAAAATTTAAAAGCTACAGTAAAGCATGTTGGTAGAAGTGTTATGGTTTCTGTATGTCAGCCGCCGGCGTTGGAATCTGGAGTTTATTGATGGTAACATGAACAAAACAATGAAACATTTCACTTCTACCAACATAACGACCCAAAACATAAGGCCGGTATCGTATAGTCTTGGTTGATTTGGAACTGCCCATATCTTATGACACCGCCGGCGCAGAGTCCAGACATGACAGTTATTGAAATTTGTGGGCAATATTGGAACAAAATATTCGGCAATATGCCATTTCTAATAAAGAAAACTTAAAAAAGGTTATAACAAGAGTGGATGAAAATTGCTCCAGAAACAACTCAACAACTTGTAGGTCCAATGCCGAAGAGACTTGACGAAGTGATAAAAGCGAAAAGGTATCATACCAAGTATTGACTTTGGACTCAAATGAAATTTCTTTTTGTGGATGAAATAAGTTGAGGCATTAAAATAGAAGTATTTTTATAGTTTACGTTCATTATTTATTAAAACAATATTTTTGAAGTTTCTAAATTAAATAATAAATATTTTTCCTTAAAAATGGCAATTAAATATTTTCAACCGATGACATAGCGTAAACAATTTTAAAATTGGTATTTGAATGAAAAAAGCTGAAAGCCACTGTACACTGTAAATATTCCAGCAGCAACTCCTTCTTTGGTTTTTCCACCATCGGTGAACTATAAAATCACTTCTGGTTCTGCTCCAGGAGTGCCATTTTGCCAGTCCAATCGATCGGGTAAGAAGACTTCGAACTTCCTACCAAAGCGAAATTTCATGTTCATGCGATCTGTCCTATCGCAAATCTCTACGCCAGTAACTAGTGTGCAGATAAAATTTTGACTGTCGAGACTTCCGTGCATGTTGATAACAGGGTGTAGCCTAGCTGCACTCATATCTGCTGGATTTTTAATAAAGAGACACAGAGGGGTGAAACCCACTATGGACTCCAGTGTTGATGTGGGACATGTTCGAATAATTCCCGTCATAGCGATACATGCGAGTCTTTGCAGTTTATTGCATTTGACTATTGCAGCATTTTGTTGCGCTTTATTCCACCAAACAAGAGCTGCGTAGGATACAATGGGTCTGACCATTGTGCGGTATAACCATGATATAATTCTAGGACTTATGCCCCAGGTTATACCATATGAGTTCCTACATGTCCATATAACCCTTGTGTCTTTACCAATTATATTGTCCAGATGAGTGTTCCAGTAAAGACGCTTATCTAGGGTGACCCCTAGATATTTAACTTCGTCGGAGCATTCGATAGTCGTATCATTAATAGATAGGGACCCAATATTCAGTTTGTATCTTTTGGAAAATGGCAGAATTTCAACTTTTTTTGGGTTAATACTTAGACCTTCTTTTATACACCAGTTCGAGACTTTGTGTAAGGCCGTCTGCATTACATCAGTAACTGTGGCATCATATTTACCGGAAACAATGATTGTCAAATCATCTGCATAACCCATGGCATGGTAGCCAGATTGCTCCAGTTTGACTAGTAGATCGTCTACTACCAACGTCCATAGCAATGATGAGAGAATCCCACCCAGAGGGCAGGCCCGTACGGCACTAATACTGACGGTAGTACTCCCTAACTTGGTAGATATGCTCCTGTCACGTAACATTCTATCTATCCACGTTATTATATATGAGTCTATATCTTTGCGGGCCAATACACCGGATATGGACTCATATGATGTGTTATCAAAAGCACCTTCTACGTCCAGAAAAGCACATAAAGCAATTTCTTTAGATTGAAAGGTACTTTGAATGTTGCTGACCAAGTGATACAGCGCGACCTCTGTAGATTTGCTTTTTAAGTAGACATATTGTATGGAGTGGAGAGGAACCGTTTGTTCCATTTTATTCCGTATGT